GAACCCGAAAAATCTACATTGAGCAGCCGCCCTATGGGCCCACCGCTCGAAGGGATATGTGGAGGGCTGATTGGGTAAAAGGGCTAAAGGGGATTATTTCCTGTGTGAGTTTTCATGTGTACCGTTAGATCTCTGTTGCGCCTAAATCTTTTATCACAAACTGAGCAGCTGTAAGGTTTCTCTCCTGTGTGGATTGTCATGTGTTCCTTCAAACCTCCACTCTGTGTAAAAGTCTTATTACAAACTGAGCAGCTGAAAGGTTTCTCTCCCGTGTGGGTTCTCAAGTGTTTCTTTAAATCTCCATTGTCAACGAAACATTTACCGCACACTGAGCAGCTGAAAGGTTTCTCTCCCGTGTGGATTCTCATGTGTCTCTGTAAATGTGAACCATGGTTAAAAGATTTCCTACAGACTGAGCAGCTGTAAGGTTTCTCTCCTGTGTGGATTCTCATGTGTTTCTTCAGATTTCCTCTGGTGCCAAATGTTTTCTCACACTCAGAGCATCTAAAATGTTTCTCACCAGCACTACATCTTGAATCACTGACAAGGACTTCATCAGGTTTCACAGAGTTTAAACCTGACTGAGGTTCTCTGGTCTCCTTCCAATCATCACTGTCATCACTGTCAGAAGAGTCTCCAGTCTTGTCATCAGTATCTGGTTCTGGATGTCTCTCTGGATCTAAGTTTCTGTCTGGTTCTGGTCCTCCACAGTCCTCTCCATCAGCTTCTGTTTCCATCTGTTCAGTTTGTCTTTGATGAAGCTGTGAGGACTGAGCTTCCTCTTCATCATCTTCACTCTTCACAGGAGTGAATGAGAGCTTGACATCAGCCTCCTCCAGACCTTGAAGCTGCTCTCCCTCCCGACTGGTCCAGATTCCCACCGGTTCCTCTTTAATGTGTGGGGGTTCTGGGTCCTCCTGGTCCAGACTGGAGCTCCACTCCTGCTGCTCAGGGGGAACCTCTTCTTTAACCACCAACAGCTGCTGGACGTCTGCAGGAAAACAGTAAACACACACAGAGACGTTACAAAGAAATATTAGTATTGAGCAAATAGTCTCCTGTACATACACTTTTTTTCCTGCCATCATTCCCTCTTACTCTTCCTGTGCACAGTTACCAAACAGACATGCCGACACAAATTGTAAAGACACAACGCACCAGCAGCGATGAGGTCATCAATAGTTTACATGGCAAAAAAGTGTGGCACTGCCCAACATTGTTAAGTATTCAAAGAACCTGCATCCTCCATAAAGTCCAGCTGAGATGTGATCATGTGGGCAGTTATAGTTGACTAATGTACGTAAACCTGCCACCGTAGAAACAGTGGATAGAACCTTCAGAAGCAGCCACAACGTAACCGTGGACGTGCATCATCGGTGCGCTCCGTTTCTGAACCAATAGCTGATCCCAGGGGGGTCCCTGTTATTGTTGATATATTTTAATAATCCTATTGATGTTAATCATTTTATGATTATCAATAATTAAATTTTCATACTTGCCAGAAACCAAACCCGCTCCTGCCAGATCTGAACACATGAATATCTACATAGGTCTGTATGTGTCCCGATAACAAGGTCCATCTATGTTGTATGATTGTTTAATTCATTCTATCATTGATCAGGTTGTATTCACTGATTTATATCCAACCGTTTGGTACCGTTCTGCAGCTGAGATAGTCCAGATTTAAAATATGGAAGAATTAAATAGACTATGTAAGTAACTAGTATTAATTAAGTTTAAATGTTTTAATCAACTCTTATGTGACCATGAACATATCACAGAGAACAAACTTGTACTTTAAGTTTAAATATTTTGTGTCATCTAGAAGCTGAGAGAACAGATCAGAAGAAGAAGAAAAAGATTCATTGCAACCGAGTCTCACTCCAAACTACATTAAAAGTTACCAGCCGGAGCATGAACAGAAGAAATAAAGAGAACCAACCTGCTCTGTGTAACCGCAGCTGAGGGTTGAAAACAGCGTCCATTAGTTTCTGTTGTCGCTCGTTCTGCTCGTTTGAACGAGAAAGTTCCTCCTCGTACTCTGCTATCGTTCTTTCAAA